TGCCAGCTTTTTCTATGCGACAGTGAAATTCGATCGTAAACGAACTTGACTGTACATAATTTGTAGTAGTACCAGCAGGTGAACTAATACCACCCTTGCCTGGATTGTAGCGAGGTGCAATTGATGTTGGAACAACAAGCCGAATTTTTGTACCATTTTCAATGAGATCCAACTCAGAGACATAGGAGATGATTATTTTGCATTCTTTGCCAGGCAGAAGTGCACCAACGTTGATGATGAAATTGTCCGGCGAGTTTTCATCTTGTTCGAGCATGTAAGCACCATGGCCTTGTTGAAGTGCATCATTGTACTCTTGTTGAGCTTCTTTCTTCTCTTTCAATTCAGCAATAATCTCTCGGTCGCCAATGACAGCTCGAAAAGCATACACAGCTGCTTGTTCTTCCATTGGAAAACAATAAACTGCTTCGATCGGTGTCGTTTCATCGTTTCGAAACACTTGTGTTATGGTTACGTTGGCAGCAAACGATCGAACTGCTGCTTCGACATTCACACATTTGAGAGGAACATACTGTTGTTGTTGTTGTTGAGTATTATGACTTATTGTCTGGTTGTTCCGTTGGATTTGAAGCATGCTTTCACTGTATTGATGCTTGACGCTATGCAACTTTCCTTGATTATGAATAAATATGAAATGAAGAATCAACGGAAAAAAAACTCAAATTTAATCCTAACTGCTGTCAAACTATCGATAAAAACACAACAAGTCAATACCGTCTGAATTACTTAGAAAGATTGACTGCGATGGATGGCGTGAATTGTGTAAAATGAGAATCAAATAGAACAGAATGAAGAAAAAAACGCATAGACGAAAACAAAATGTGTATTTGAAATGTCAGAAAGAATTAACTTTTTAACAAAGTACTTCTTCTATCCAATCAGAGTTTGTGATCAATATGGCGGGTAGAAGTTTTTGTGCAAAAATAAAAACAGTGTCATCGTATTTCATATTTAAATCCTATAGAAACTGTGCTGAAATCTTTTGCTACACTATACGATATTAAATGACGGGTTTCTCTTCAAAATGGTATTGAATTAAGAAAATTATATGAGCAAAGTTTCCCATTTCTGCTGTGGAAAAATTTTATCTTCTAACGTTCACGTCTGTTGTGGCAAGAAAAAATTCTAATTATTATTGCTTGAATGAAAACATTCAAATTACGGCATAAACTCAATGCTTCGACTCTTTTCATTTCTACAAAATCTGTATCTTATTAGTGTAGGGGATATTTCAGAAGATGCATCAGTACTATTGTTGGTTACTCTGGGGAGCAACGTCTAGAAACTTACTTGAATAATAGTGTCGACAGCATGATTTATGGTTGTCGACATCTATTCATTCAGCGTTACATCACCCGAGTATTGACTGTTTCCTTTTTTTCTTGGAAGTTACAAAAAACTCACTGCTGACAAACAACAAAGTGCACCAATTTTCTTTTTCTTACTGTGTGAGGGAAACTTTGGTAAGAGAATGGAGTATGATGCAGTTTTATTCCCTGCTTGCAATGGGTTTTTTCCAACTTAATAATACAAAGTAAATACTCAGGTGAAGGTATACGCGTCGCTGGCGTCCTCCATATAACTTTGCCTCCAAAGATGACTATACTGGTAACAATTCAACATAATAAAAATATTCGAAAAAGAGAAAAAGACAAAGTTTTAATAAACCAAAGCTCAAAAAAACTGTGATAATCATGCTTTTTCAATGTTACCTTTTCGCGAAGGGAAAATTTCTGCATCATTGTGAAAAATTTTAAATTTCATTGTGACGATCTTCATCAAAAAGAAAGTATAGAAAAAAGAAATATCTTAACAATCAGTTCAGATGAATTTCTATAGAAATATATATCAAAATATGTGCAAGGAAAACAATAAACATCTATTCTAAACAGCTGTGCGTGAACTCTATTGGTCTTTTAATAGTGTACAAAAATGAATATTATCCTCATCTAAATCACAAGAGAATACAACACATCTATTGAAACGAAATGAAAGAAATTGTTGCACCAAACAGTTGAATTAAACTGTACACACAGTTGCTGTGTCCCATTAGATATTTTTGAAATCGCTCATTTAGATTTGCTGATCAAATTAAATATATATATATATATATCGCCAGTTTTCAAAACATTATTTAAACTTGGGTGACATTTGTACTATTAGTAGAGGCCGCTGGCATACATAGATAGTACAATTTCCAGCTCAACATGTTTTGATACAGAGGCGGTAAGACTAAAACAGAGTATTTTAGTAATTGTGTTAACGATGATCGACCAGCACATTGACGTTTAGATTTTTTGTCTTCCTTTTGTTAACGTTAAGAGACGAGAAAAAAAGATAACGAATAGAGAATGAGTAATGACACAGTTATTGTGCAAGTACATGTGCAAGAAAGCACATGGTGAATACTTTTTATGCAACATCGAGAAAAAACAATTAATCATGTGATTGTCTTCGTTTTTTAACTTGTGAAATGCTGCCAGATGGAATTTTTATGATCATTCTACGATATTCTGGCAACGTTTATACTGTATTGCGTATACTTTTCGGCTTAAATTAGCGTTTGAATAATACTCTTCTTGATAGACGTTTGGATCTATTCACTGATCCTTTGTATACATCGATATTAGCGATGCCAATATTGACTATGATTATCATCGTAGATTGTTCCATAATGTCTCTCAACAGTCGACTCTCTAAAAATCAGCTAATATGAATTAAAATCAAGTCTGTAACAATTTCAATCTATATGCACGCATACCACAACTGATGAGATCCTCAGACGAGATACGACGTTGAAGCGCAAGTACTTAACAATATAAGAAAACTGTTTCAACCCTAACGAAGACGTCCAGTGAATTCAATATCTTATTTATGCCAGATGTCTCGTCTTGAACGTTCGAACGATAAATCGAACACAATTCAACTTGTCTAAAGCACTTAATTAATTTTTACTCGCGAATATCAAAGCTGATTGATCTGCTATGCTGCAGTTTTTCAATCGTCTAATTCTCATGTTCACAGCAGTGATTATTTCGCATTCGAATCTTCTGAGCTATACAGATTATTTTGGTAATGGTGGTCATCGGATTTGCTACTTTTTTGTATTTTATTCGATCTATCAAATCAGATACTTTTATCGTCATAGTCAGTCCTTGAATCAATATTAATTGTTATCGTAGTATGTTGAATTTTCTAATCTTCACTGTGCTATGTCTGATAACGTTATAATAAGATAATACAACATTTTCTTTTCATCGCTCATTGGATAGACGAACAAAATATGACGTGATGATTAGAGATTGACTATAGAGAAGGACGAGAAATCATTTTAACCGTGGTTAATAAGTACAAATAGTTTATTTAAGTTGCTATAGAAGGAAAAATGTAAATTCGTCAAACAATTACTAGTATCATCATTATGACTGATTCATCAAATCGGTAAAAATCATCTCGTTACCTCAGGTTGATAAGTCTTATGCTTTCTC